AATGAAAGAGAATTTTTGAGAAATATCCCTTTTGGTGTATCACTTTTCAAAAATACCTCATTTATCTATCCATTTTCAAAAATATCCATGTTTAAATATGAAAATTTTTAAAGTTTTATATGGTTTATAAGGCACTTTTATATAATAACTACTACTTGGAAATTTGATACAAATATTTTATAATGTTTTAAAAGATTTTAAATCGTTTTTACAAGTTTTATAAGGTTTTTAAGTGGTTTTAAAAAGGGTTTATAAGGTTTTTAAAAGGTATTTATAAATTATTTTACGCTATTTATGAAAGATATATAAAAATTTAAACATATATCAAGGTAATTTGTGTGTATATTTATAAGTTTACACACATATTTGGATAAATTTTAATATTTATAGTTGTTTTTTTATAAAGTTTGAAATAGGGGAATTTTTAAAAAGTGGTATGGAAAAAGGATATTTTTGATAAATTCAAAAGTAAAAAAATTGATATTTATATAAAAAAAGCGTAAGCTTATATATTTAGACACAAATTATCTTTCTATTTGTGTAAATTTTAAATACCATATAAATACCTTTTAAAAACCTTTTAAAATTATTTAAAAAACATATAAAAACTTTGTAAATCTTATAAAAACCTTATAAAAGTCTTATAAATGCCGTTTAAAACCATTTTAAAACTTTATAAATATTTGTATTGAGTCTCCCAATAGTAATGATGATCTAGATGTACCTTATAAACTATATAAAAGTTGACAATTTTTCATATTTGAAAAGGGATATTTTTAAAATGGATAGAAAATTGGTGTATTTTTATAAAGAGGTACACCAAAAGGGGTATTTCTTAAAAATTCTCTTTTAACTATTAACCTAATTTTTGGTTTTGCGAGTTGTAGGTTTTACAATTATAAGGGTTATATGTTGAGTTTATAAATGTGCATTATAGTTTAGATTTTATTATTAAACGAGATTATTTATCGGTTTGGGTTTATTAAAGATGAGTGAGATTTAGGTTTTACAATTAAACAAGGTTATTTCTCAGTTTGGGTTCATAAAGGAGAATTAGGATTTACAATTTACAAATAAATTAGATTTTGAGTTTAACTAAATTCATAATTTTATTCATGATTTCTATTTTATAATATGTTATATTTTTTTAATTTTTAATTTATGTACGAATGTATTATGCCATTGAGCAATTTTATTGTCTAAAACATAAGGGTGAATAAAATAACAAAGTTTAATATAAATCGTAATATAGTAATTTTAAAATATTTTTAAAGAAAATATGTAGTTTTTTATAATTCGTAATTGAAATTTTTTTTAATGTTTTCCTCAACGATGTTGTAATTTATTTTAGAATCTTTATGTTTATTTGCGTTGTTTATATGATTTTATTTACAAATGACTATATTTGTATTTAACATCATATTTTTGATTGATGTTAATTTGAAAGAACTTTACCATCATATTAAATAATAATTAATTAATTTTCATAGTCTGAGTATGATTTTTTGAAAAATTGAAAGTTAAGAAATAACAATTTTTACAAAATGGTATAATCATGTTTTAGAGGATAATTGGTAAATTAAGATTTTTTGAAATATTTTAGCAAGATTATGAGTAAAGGTGAATAGCTCCCAAATAGCTCCCAAATGTTTTGGTGATTGTTAGTTTGACATTACTAGATTTATATAATTAACGTTTTATAACGAATTTTAATAAATATATATTTCAAACCAAATAAAATCTCTTTCCAAATGAAATTAATTTCTCTTATTTTTTCAAACAAAACTTTTGAAATTATATTTTTATAATTTATAATAAATTTTAATTTTAATTTAATTTTAAATAAAGATAACCCGTCCATCGGACGGGTACTATACTAGTACAATATAAAGTTTTCACAGCCATTGAACGCAGAGTACCGAACCAAACCGACCCTGATTGAGTGATTGTAAATCTGGTTATGGAGATTTAACGTGCCAAGTCGCGTCTACGTGGAAGATGAAACCAAAGCAAAGAATCTTCGAACTTGTTTCTAAGAAAAGTCTGGCCACAGTTAAGTCTATTTCTTCCACATCCAAAACCAAGTTAATGTTTTTATCTCCCCCAAAGTCCAATTTCCAAAAATCCAAAACACCAAAGAGAGAGAGAGAGAAAAAAAAAAACTGAAAACATCCCAATGGATCATCCTCAACCTTGACAACACGAAACCCTCTTCCCCCAAATCCCCCAAAATCTTGGAACATAGTCAAAAAAATCACTCCTTGGAAGCGATCTGATCGAATGTCTCAGAACCCATCATCACATCAGACTCGTACCCTCTTCTTCCTCTTATGTCTTCTTCTAGGGTTTGGTTTTTTCGTTGACCTGGGTCAATCCCTGAAGGTTCCCTTCAGCGTTAACGATGTTCTTCCGATGCTACCTCGTCAAGTCTCGTGGCCCGTTTTGAACAGTTTCCACAACGCTGTGGATTTGTTGCCGGTTTTTATTGGGTCCGTTTCTCCTAATAATGCGTCTCTTGAGTGGAAAGGTGCTTGCTTTAATGGCAACGAAGCTCGCCTCGATATCACCGGTAGTGATCGTGATGTCCCTGGACTCGGCGGTGGCGTTCTCCATCTCAAAGTTGGTTCATTTCACTTTCTTAGCTTTTCATCTTCTTCAATTACTATTGTTTAGCTTGTTGAGATCAAATATGTGTTATACTTTAAAGATTCTATGCTCAAATTTCTTAAAGTTTTTGCCTTTTGTGGTAACAAATGAAGTTTAAATTGGGAGAACGTTGTGTAGTTGCTGCTAAATACTTTCAAATTAGTTGTTTTGATGATATTTGGGAACGTTTTTGCAGACATCCAAGGCACATAGCTTGACATGTATGGACCTATATGTCTTTGCAACGCCATACAGGATCACTTGGGACTACTATTTCTCTGCTAGAGATCATACTTTGAACTTCGATTCCTGGGAAGAGAAAGCTGAGTTAGAATATGTAGGTTTTTGTATAGTTCCTTAAGAAGCTGTGTGGTGTTTGATAGTCGTGGTGATTTATATTAAAGTGTACTTTGAATGTGTAGGTGATGGAGCATGGAGTTTCAGTGTTTTTAATGCCATCAGGAATGCTCGGGACGTTGCTTTCTTTGATTGATGTGTTGCCTCTTTTCTCCAATACTGCTTGGGGACAGAATGCGAATTTGGCGTTCTTGACGAAACATATGGGTGCTACGTTTGAGAAACGGCCTCAACCTTGGCGGTCAACTATTAATCCGGAAGATGTGCATTCTGGCGATTTCTTGGCGCTGTCAAAGATTCGAGGTAGATGGGGTGGTTTTGAGACGTTAGAGAAATGGGTGACTGGGGCTTTTGCTGGTCATACTGCTGTTTGTTTGAAGGATGATTTAGGGAATCTTTGGGTTGGTGAATCGGGGCATGAGAACGAAAAGGTAGACTATATTCGGAGAAATTTCCTAAACATTTCGAGGTTTTCGGATAGAGAGGGAGATATTAACTCTCTTTTTCTCTCATAGGGTGAAGAAATCATTGTTGTGATTCCTTGGGATGAATGGTGGGATCTGACTTTGAAGGATAATTCAAATCCTCAAGTTGCTTTGCTTCCGCTACATCCCGATATCCGAGCAAAGTTCAACAATACTGCTGCGTGGGAATATGCGCGGAGCATGTTGGGCAAACCATATGGATATCACAACATGATATTCAGCTGGATCGATACTCTAGCCGATAACTACCCACCTCCCCTTGATGCTCACTTGGTACTTCTTAATCTCTGATATTCTTAAAGATACATCATCATTATCATCGTCATGGTAACAAACAAGTGACTTTGGACATTCAGGTTATTTCTGTCATGTCTATGTGGACTCGTGTACAACCCGCATATGCTGCAAATATGTGGAACGAGGCACTGAATAAACGACTTGGTACTGAGGTATACATCTATTTGCTCTTCTTTACAAAAACCTCTTTATCTCATCTGAATAGGACAGGACATACAAGATAGATAGCTAAGAATTTTCTGCTGTATAGGATCTGGATTTGTATGGGATTCTTGAAGAAACAGCGAGGCGTGGAATGTCATTTGATGAGTTACTCACCATCCCTGAACAGGATGAGTGGGTTTATAGCGACGGGAAATCAACTACGTGTGTTGCTTTTATCCTTGCAATGTACAAAGCTGCTGGTGTTTTCGGCCCTCTTGCTGATAACATTCAAGTCACTGAATTCACAGTGAGTTTCTTTCAATATCAATACATCACCTTCTTTTTTCTTCCATTTAATATGACTCTTGAGCGTTTTCTTCATTCTTACTTTCAGATCCGAGATGCGTACGCACTGAAGTTATATGAGAGTAACCAGACTCGGCTACCGAGTTGGTGCAACACAGAGGAAGGGAAGCTTGACTTCTGTCAGATTTTGGGTGAATACAGAATGGAGTTACCTGGTTATAACACCATTGACCCATATCCCAACATGAACCAGAATTGCCCTTCTTTACCTCCTAATTACGAGAGGCCTTCTAAGTGTTAGCAAAGTTAATTTTAAGTGCTGTTTGTCTCTCTCTCTCTCTCTCTCTGTCTGTGTTTGTCTATTTGTTCAAAGCTATGACCCTTTTAGTTAGAGGGGAAGAAAACCACGTTTTAAGTACAATCTTTTGTGTGAATATATGATATGATGATGGTTTTATCAAATCCAATGGTGTCTGCGTAGTCCCTAGTGCTCTGCTTCATTTGTTCGAGACCTCTGTTTTTGTGAGAATGCAATAGTCATAACTCATAAGGCAGAAAACGAATAAAAGATGCTATAGTTACAGTATTCATCCATTTGCCAAGTCTGTTCGATTTATGCTTAAACTATAACCCAAGAGGTCAATTTGAAGGATTTAATAAGATTTTTGAAGAATTGACAAAATGTTCGAACTCAAAGTATAAAAATGAACCAACCTAACCTATGATTATAATTTAGTTGACAGGGACCAGGAAGCTATCAAACTCATGACGTCGTTAAAGACGTGTAAGTCGAACATTTCGTTGATGGCTTTTCCGACCAAACCAACTCCCACTTGAAACTAAAACAAAAGCAAAAACTTAGTTCAACGTCTTTTATTTGACTCCACCACCTAGTTCCCTCAAACCGGTTTATTAGCATCGGTCAACCTATCAAACCGGACCAAATATTAATGTTGCACAAGAGTCTTCTTCTTCTACTCTTGAATCTAGATGACCTCTGCCAAGTTTGAACGTGACTAAGACCAATAGATGTTTCTATTGGAATCATTCACCATTCTGATTCTTATATTATAAAATCTAGAAATTTGGCAGAGACACGCAAACGATTCCCAACGACCTCTCACCCGCCAACACAAAACGCAAACGCAGTAGCTTGACCTTAAATTATATGCTTGTTATATATTTTTAAAAACCATCTTCAAACGGCTTTACCTGTTTTTAGCTTTCATCTCTAAATTCTCTCCTAAAATCCTAAATATTACCTCTCTCTATTTGTTTCTTTTCTACTTTTTTTTTTCTTTTTGGGTGGCTACCTATAATCCGAAAACCACCATGAGGTTTTGCGTTTTCGGGTTTTTATCGCTTTTCTTGATTGTTTCTTCACCTGCCAACGCTTGGTTCTTCCCTAACAACTCCACCAAGATACCACCGTCTCTACGTAACACCACACGCGTTTTCTGGGACGCTTTCTCCAATTTCACCGGTTGTCACCACGGCCAAAACGTTGATGGTCTCTACCGTATCAAGAAATACTTCCAGCGTTTTGGTTACATCCCTGAAACGTTTTCAGGTAATTTCACCGATGATTTTGATGATGTTCTCAAAACAGCCGTCGAGTTGTACCAGAGGAATTTTAGGCTTAACGTTACAGGTGAACTCGACGCGCTTACCATCAAACACATCGTGATCCCGCGTTGCGGTAATCCCGATGTGGTGAACGGTACCTCGTTGATGCACAACGGGAGAAGAAAGACCTTCGAGGTCAACTTCTCCCGCTCTCATTTGCACGCGGTTAAACGCTACACGTTGTTCCCAGGCGAGCCACGGTGGCCTAGAAACCGCCGTGACTTGACCTACGCGTTCGACCCGAGAAACCCCTTGACGGACGAGGTAAAGAGCGTGTTCGCACGCGCGTTTGGTCGTTGGTCGGACGTGACGGCTTTAAATTTCACGCCCTCTGAAGATTTTACCTCGTCCGACATCACGATCGGATTTTACACCGGCGATCACGGAGATGGCGAGCCTTTCGACGGCGTATTAGGAACATTAGCTCACGCCTTCTCTCCTCCGAGTGGGAAGTTCCACCTCGACGCAGACGAGAACTGGGTGGTCTCCGGGGACCTAGACAGTTTCCTCTCAGTCACGGCGGCGGTTGATCTTGAATCAGTGGCGGTTCATGAGATCGGTCATCTTCTCGGTTTAGGACATTCCTCGGTGGAGGAATCCATCATGTATCCGACGATCACGACGGGAAGACGTAAGGTTGACTTAACCAATGATGACGTGGAAGGAATCCAGTACTTATATGGTGCGAACCCTAACTTCAATGGCACGTTACCACCGTCCACCCCCACTCGCCAACGAGACACTGGTGCCTTCTTTGGTGCTGCTTGGAGAATCAACGGTTCATTGAGATCGACAATTTTCAGTTTGTTATTGTCAACCGTTGGATTGGTCTTGTTGTTCTTACCTTAGATAAAAAATTTTTCGTACTTAATTTTTTTTTTAATTAGTATCACATCTTAATTTTTTTTTTTTTAATTAAAGGATGGGGATATATACTCAGACATTTGTTCCTTTCTACAGTTTTCTTTTCACATATACATGTTGTATATAAATTGCTTTATCAATGTTTGACTTCGTGTTATACATTTTTCTAACCTATGTTTATTTAAAACATTTGTAAGCTTGTCCAAGCCAATGACTCAATCGACCGGGGAATAAGATGTCTACTCATATGCATGATTAGAAAAATACACAATCACCTTGTCGCGTTTAAGTTGTGTTAAACTTCTCAATGATGGTTGGCTGAATTTAGAGATTTTAAAACATGGTTTAGCAATAAATAATTAATTATACTTTAAATATCATATAGTATTGTACAATATATAACCTCTATAAATTAATTACCCGGATAAATAAATAGTTTTTTCGGTTACGAATTAAATTTTCCGAATGGTTACTATGTTGATAAATAGTGTTGATATTATTATTAATTTATATAATTTTTATTAGATCTCGATATGTTTTGTTGATAGATTCCCTAAAGAAAAAAAGAGGACACGATTGTGAAAAATAAATAAATGGGGTCAAACGTGGAAATAGTGTATAAATCCAAACCCGTGGCGTAAAATATTCCTGGTGGGTTGATGTGTCTGAGCCTCTGTGAAGCCACTAAACGAGTCAGGTCTCTTTGGGTAAAGCGAGTCCGTCACCAACGTCTTCGTCTCCAGCGATTCTTCTTCACGTATATATAAATCTTTCCGATTTGTCTTTTTGCTTTTCGTTTTCCGTTTATATCATCGGGAAATTTCCCCGGATACTTCTCCGATTCGTTTTAAAGCCTTTTTCTACAGGAACCTTTTACTCCCCATCTGTGATTTTGGGTAGATTTGGCTCCGTATGGTTAGGGTTTGAAGGAGGTGATTGTGGTTTCGCTCGTTGTTTTATTTCACTGTACGTTAAGAAAATTGGCTCCATTTGATTTTTTCCTAGGGTTTCTTCCTTGAGTTCTACAAATGTCAGAAGGTTCGAGACGGAGTCGGGTCACTATTACTCTAGGGCGTAGCGGTCAGGTACGTTTGAGGTTTTTTTTTTGTTCATCTCAGAGTTTGTGTGTAAGTTAGGTGGAAGGAATGTGATAAAACTCCCATTGATGTAATCTGTGAGAGGAAAAGTTTGTAAAGGAGTTTTTGATATGGTGCTTTCATGATGTTATCTGGCTTATGAGAAGGATTTTGAGATTTGGAAATGAAATGTAGAACTGTTATAGGGATGGTTGGTTATATGAATGATATATGCAAATGTGTTGGTGTATGATTAATGGGTTGAGTCTAGAAAACTGCTTATTTTGTTGATATTTTCTTTTGCAGGTGGTGAATCGAGCTGCAAGTGATTTAGATGCTGGTTATGAGTTGCCTAGAGTTGGGACCAAGCGGTCTGTCAAAGAAAGATTAGGAAATCAGGTAGATAGTTCTCTGTATGGAAGCGAAGAAGTGGTCAGTAAAAGGTGCTTACTTTTTCTTCTTATGTGTACTGCTGCATATTGAATGTCAGGATCTTCTTTATTTGTTCTGTTGCTCTTATTCTTTTGAAATCTATGACCTTTTATTTGTTCACGGGTTTGTGAATAGTTGAGTATCCAGAACTCTGGAGGAACTGATGGGTTATGCTTTTTGCTTCAGTTTTCATGTTTTAAATTTTCTTGCTTGTTGCTGCAAGGCATTCACTAGATTAAAGTTTTTGCTCTTTCTTTGTTTATGCAGGCAAAGAGGGGAAGCAAGTTTCTGTGGAAATGGTATAGATGTGTGAATTACTGGATACACACTAGCATGTTTGCTGAATTCTGACCCACCCCTCTTTGTTACTAAGATTTGCAGATCAGTCAAAATGATCTCCGATTCAAACTGATGCAGAAAAATGCCCAGAAACGAGCTCAGAGCGATGAAGGTAGCACTATGGATCTTCGTGAAAAGCTCTCCAGGAGCGAGCAGCCTCCACGTAGCCTTGATACTCGACCTCGTATGGCTGAGCTGAGAGATGTCCCCTTACCTTCATCAAGAACTGCTCGTGGTTCCTCTCAGATGATTTCATCAAGTAGTTCGTATCCTCCATGGTCCCTGGAAGATTTAAGACGAAGGTCTCCAGAGAGATTTATGGATACTTCCAGGGGTCCATCCCCGCCAAGAAATGCTGGACGTACCATTGGCATTCCAAGGGGTCCATCCCCCCCAAGAAATGCTGGAAGATTTATTGGCACTCCAAGGGATCTATCACCGCCAAGAAATACTAGAAGGATCATCGCCTCACCAAGGGATCATGACATTTTTAAAATAAATTTTACATAATTGGCACTCCAAGGGATAGATCACCTCCAAGAAATGCTGGAAGGATAATTGGCACTCCAAGGGATAGATCACCGCCAAGAAATGCTGGAAGGATAATTGGCACTCCAAGGGATAGATCACCGCCAAGAAATGCTGGAAGGATAATTGGCTCTCCAAGGGATAGATCACCTCCAAGAAATTCCGGAAGGATAATTGGCACTCCAAGGGATAGATCACCTCCAAGAAATGCTGGAAGGAGATTTGAGTCTCCAAGGGATCTATCACCGCCAAGGAGCACAAGAAGCTTCAGTAGTGGTTCTAGGGCTCTGTCCCCCACTAGAAATGTAGGAAGCTACATGGGTTCTTCTCTGGGGTTTTCACCTCCTAGGAATCCTGGAAGCTACATGGGTTCTTCCAGGGGTTCTCCACGTAGTAACATTGAAGATTTTCATGGACGAAGCAGGATGCTTGATGATGTGAGAGCGACACCATATACTGTTAGAGGTGTACTAAATGGTCAAGCCCCAGCAAGTGGTGCTCCTTTCGCCAGGCCAATGTTACCGCCTCCAGTCCCAAACCCACATCCGTTGCCTCCTTTGAGCCAGCTTCCTCCACTTGGAAGTATGATGCAGAACAATCCCTTCTCTGTAAGATCTTTTATCTACTTCTCAATTTGTGGATGAATTTTCTCTCTTCTTGCTCTTTCTAAACTTTGGGTGAGTCCTTCATATGTACCTTGTGTCATTCGTAGGCCAAAAACCTTTGTGGTCAGATAGTCCAAACTTTTATGCCTTGTTCTTATACATGTTGTAATATGTCATGTATATCTGCTTGGTGTTACATTAGGTGGAAGAGCCTCTGACTGTTGATAGCTTTTTACAGTCAATTGGACTTGGAAAATACTCCCTTGCCTTTAAGAGAGAGGAAGTAAGTGTGCCATTATTTTCTTATCTTAAAGCTTTGCCACATTAGCTTTTGTATTAGGTTTACTACTTTTCATGTTGGCAATTCGAAGTGCAGCAGATATAATCACACACACATATATAGATTGTATGAAAATAGTAATGAATCTACTGAGATGATTAACTAGTTGTCTTGGCTCTGTTTCTGTCAATAACAAACTTGACTGATATGATAACAGGTAGATATGACCACAATAAAGCAGATGAAAGAAAGTGATCTAAAAGATCTCATCATACCAATGGTACTTTCCCTTCGTGTTCCTTAACGGTCTAAAACAATTGGGATTGATCTGTTCTTTTCAGCAAATTTGCTGAACTTGGTAAATATTATATTGATGCAATGCAGGGTCCAAGGAAGAAGATTCTTCAGGCTATAGCCTCCCTTCCAACAAGGTAGCTATGACAAAAACACGGATTTGGCCTCTAGCTGCTTCTCACTCTTTTTGTGGTCTTGTTAGCCTCTAAGAGGATCGAAACTATGATAACTTTTTGAGATCCAACCCCGAAACTTTTCTCTCCGGATGATGATTGTAGGCAGCAGAACTTTCTTTTGTAATTCTTCTCTGTTATGGATTTTTTTTTTCTCTCTTTTTCCTGGCATACACTATTATGTTAACCCAAGCAGCCTAATTGTGGAAATGCGAAGGTGTTGTGGTGTAATCCAAACACTCTTTTGGTTGGTATATAAATCTCAACGTGAAAGTGATAGGTTAATATTTCTCCTCATTTATGTTTCCCCTCAAGTCCAACACCCATTAATAATTTTCAGAGTATTAAACCATTGAGAGACTTCCCTTCTTCCAGTGGAACAAACACTGATGAAAAATAAGTTTGAGAAGGAACTGGAACGAAGTCTAACTTGGTTTGGACTATACTTGAGATATTAGTAGCTGAGTGGTGAAGATGCGACCTTAATAATTTGCTACTAATAATAAAAAAAAGAAAACAAAAGAATAGTGAAAACGACGGCGTAGTAAGAGAAGAAGTAATGAAGCAAAGTCCCACATCGGATAGGTGAGAGTTTGTTAGAGTGAAAGGTGCATATAAAAGAAGGGCTTGGTCCTTTGGTTAAAAATCACGCAGCCATGTGGTGAGCACAAAGCGAACTATTCTTTCGCCTTTTACTAAAGAATACCGTGTGCTCTCCACGCTAAGTGGCATACGCCTATTTTTGGAGGGTTCTCACTTTTCAGTGAGTCCCAACAATGTTTAGTTAAATTTTTTAAGGTTATAACTAATTAAAATTTAGCTTGAATCTAGATTTTGAACTTCGACCAGTATAAATCCAGGTCTCTGAAGTTAAGTTAGTCTTTGAAAATATACGAGAACGTTATAATAAGTTAATTACACAAAATTGACAATGCAACTGCAAAATTTCAACAAAATCATCAACTGGATTACTGGAATGTAAGAACGATGACATTAAAGAAAAACAAATATCTTTATTTTTTTTTGAAGTATCAGATTGTGGTATTATTTTTTGCTAAGACAATAACTATTAAGATGTAATTAGTATAAGGATTCACTAAAGGTTTTAGTGAATGTGGGTTTTATGACAATTTGTGGGTCTTATAAAGTTTGGTCGTTATTTTTGTTTTTTTAAAAGATTAGTAAAAATTAAAACTCCAAAAAAAATTGTTTGTTTTTTTAAAAATTAAAGTGACTCAAGCTATGAAGGAGAAGATGGATAGTATATTCCTAGTCACTGATGTTGTTGATTTGTCAAATTCTCTGGATTTTAGTATAATCTTTGTTAAGACAACAACTTTCAATGAAATTTTGAAACATGAGAAATTCAATGAAATTTCAAACAAAAGAAAACAAATGAATAATACAATATAACAAACATATATGTATTTTTTTTTTCTTTAGAGAAGAACACTATTTTTCTTTGCATCTAAGTCCATCAATGTTCATAGATAAGCTGTTTTTAAGTAGTAAAGAGTTAAAAACATTTAGAGAAGTAAAGAGTTAAAAACATTTAGAGAAAAACTTTAGTGTTTATGGAAAGAAGTCAATAAGAGTTTAAGTAGTAGTGGAAAGAAGTCAAGGAAAGGTTAATTTAAAAGCATGTATGCCTCAACAGTACTAACCAATAGATCAAGCTCGCACCTGCTGTCTTATAGAAGAAGTGCCTTCTTCTCCAGAATCAACGGCACTTGCTTCGTTGCCAACACCTTCACTTCCTCCTTTGCTAAGACCTTCACTTCCTCCAATGAACAAACAAAAATGTGTATAATTAATAATTTAAAAGTGTTCAAAACATCAATTATTATATAAGTGAAAAATTGGTACAACCTACGTTATTTTGGATAACCATTTGCTCTCTTCACATATTAGAGTTTCTAAAGGTAGTGTAAAATAAATAAAAATGTAATCTATGTTAATGACATGTTCATGAATTAGCAATGTAATTATCTAATATTTAATTTATTTTAGAGATGAGATCAACATTTGCTGACTATTGACCACACAGAAAATAATTTACTTAAATAGTCTTGATTACATAGATTTTAATTAAACCATAGGTCTTGGAAAATAAATAAATTAATAACATAAAATGATTTATAAATATGTAAACAGTGGTCCTTGAAATGGGCTGATATAAACGAGTCAGATCTACTCGTTAGAAAAAAAATGATTTCTACAAAAAAATCAAAGCATAATGTAGTTAGAATTTAGAAAAAGTAAGAGAGCATGATTATGAATTAAGATTTCTTTATTTTTCATACTAGCGACAAATCTTTTTACAGAAGCTTATTACCAATCTCACAAAAAAAAAAAAAAAAAAAAAGAATGTTGGGCCAAAAGGGTTAGACCTAGCCTAGTTTTAGTGGGCTTTTATATTTTTCATCTGATCTGAGACTTTTCTCAATGTCTCCTTTCTGAAGTCTGGTTTAGGGTAAAACCTCATTTCGTTGCCATTGCTCTGTTTCTGTAATCTGTAGTGGTAGAGCTTTGTAAGAGTGCTTGAAGATGAGCTTAGTTCTTAGATTCAGACAACATTTATCTCAAACCTCCTCCAGATTATCACTTCTGTCTCGAATCGGCGGTTACCGGAGTTATGCCCAAGCGGCGAAGATTGAAGATGATGAAGAAGAAGAATTCGATCAGAGGAAGCTCCCAACAGATTACGATCCCGCCACTTTTGATCCAACGGAGCACCGTAGTCCACCAACGGAGCGTGTGTTCAGACTCGTAGACGAGATCTCATCTCTGACGTTATCAGAAATCTCAGAGCTCGGTGCGATTATAATGAAGAAGAAAGGTATGACGGAGCTACCGACCGTCGCCGTTTTGAAACCTGGGGCTGGTGGGATCGTGGCTGGATCGGGTCAGGGACAAAGCGGTGGTGGTGGTGCGAGTGAGGAAGCTAAAGTGGAGAAGACAGTGTTTGAGATAAAGTTGGAGTCTTTTGATTCATCTGCTAAGATTAAGATTATAAAGGAGGTGAGGAGTTTTACTGATTTGGGTTTGAAAGAAGCTAAAGCATTGGTGGAGAAGACTCCTGCGATTTTGAAAGCTGGCTTGTCTAAAGAAGAAGGTGAGAAGATCGTTGAGAAGTTGAAAGCACTTGGTGCTAAAGTTGTTTTGGAGTGATGATGTTTCTCGAAGGTCTGTTGTTACTTTTTAAAGCTTCGATTTTTCTTCTTTTGTTCCATCTATGATGAGCTCAAGATAATACACAAGCTGATTAATTGGGTTTTGTAAGGTCGTCATAGGTTACACTTGCTCCTTCTTTCTCACTGCTAAATTGGTTTTGATGAGAGATGAATCTTTGCTAGTTCAAGATGTATCGCAAAATAATAGAAAGTGTAGACTTTGTGTTAGTGTGTTATGATCTATCCCATGGCTTTGATCTTGACTCAGAATTCTTACCTTGTTCATTTTTCTAATCAAAGTTTGTAGCTTTGGCTCCTTGCAATCACTTTTGTTGATACCAGGATCTTTGAGTAAGAATTGTTCAGCGTAGATTCAAACAAATGACTACGGTTTAATCATAGATTATGTTAGAAAGATGAGATTATTAGCAGAGGGAATCCACATTTAGTAGCATTACATTAAGGTAGAAACGAATTGTTCATGCGGCCCACATATGCATGGGTGCAAAGATTTGGATGAACTTTTGAGAAGTTGTTTAGGTGATAAGCAACAAACCTGAATCTTGCTTCATTTGATCATTTCCATCTGTATGTAAAGGGCAAAGTTTAGTTCCTGTTCACAAATGACATCCACAGGGAGAAAATGCTAAGTTGTGATCATAAAAGGTGTGTAGTCAAGTTTGCTTGAGCATGCGTCCCCAACTTGATCACCCACTTTACTTCAATCGGATCTATAATGATGCATGGGTTGTGATGCTGAGATATGTTAAAACATATGCTCTAGAATGTATAGTGTAAACAATGGAAGTGAAACTGAGCTTGCAACTGAGAACCTTCTGAATGCATCAGAGGCTTCTCTGTATCATAGAAACGACACCGTTTGAACTAAACATAGACTACCTTCTTCTTCAGTTCTTCCCCTCCATTCTGAGTTTCCGACATTGAACCAGTGAGTTCTTCTCAAAACTCATCGATTTCACTCGATTCCGAAGTCAAACACAAACTCAGTTGTTTGCATATGTTGTCTATTTTGATCTGGTTTGAGAACTTCCATCGATGCTACCTTTGTTCATACTGCTCTTAGGCTCATTATCGAATTTCAAATGGATGGCTTGTAAAATGAGTGTTCACGTTGGAATATTTGATGTTTCTTAACAAAGCAATCTTGTGTTCTTGACTTCATTAGAGTGTTACTGATTCGATTTTTATATTTTTTTCTGGAGATTAGACAAGTAGTGTAGTAGAACAGATGCAGTTTAGACCTCATTTTAGGGTTTGCAATCCAAAATTGGGGATTTATGATGTTTATGTTTCGGATTATCTTTACAGAATTGGTTGAAGTGAGATCTTTATGCAGTTTTTTTTTCCCTATGCTGTGAAGTTGATTTGATGTACTCCATATAATATAATGTAATTGGGTTTCAAGTTTCAGTTCTGAAAATGGATTCTACTTATGTAGTCTTGGAAGCTTACAGACTAATTTCCAACATTTTGTTTGAATACTCAAATTGTATCTGTCACATTTTTGTGTAGCTGTTCTAGTTTCCAGAGTAATTCATCATCAATTTTGCTGAACTTGCATACCCATTAACTGTTTGACTTCTATGTTTCGCTGTGAAGTATATTTCCATTGTTTATCACCGATGTCTTGTTTCGTTCTGACTTTTGGACACAGGTTTTAAACATGCTGAGAGAGGAGAGTCCGAAAGTCACTCGCAGAAGCACCAGGTCGTCATCTTCTGTAACTGTTGAGAAACCAGAACCTAATGAAACCCACCTACCAACCGTTGATGATCTCACGTTTGGGGAAGAATCAATCTCGTTGGATGCTGTTCTATCAAACTTTCCGGGCAGACGCTCTCAGATTTTCGACCTTATTCGTCTTATGGGTCCGTTGGATTGCCCTGCCCTTCCAGTAATGATCTATGGAGGTGCTTCTACTGGAAAAACCAGTGTTGTTCTTCATGTGCTTAGGCATCTTAATCGCCCCTTTGTTTATTCAAGCTGTCGTACATGTTACAATCCCCGTATCTTGTTTGAGTCGATTCTAAATCAGTTGTTGCTGCATAGGAAGTGTTCTCTAAATGGGTATTCTAGTGCAAAACGATGTGACAAGCCATCTGATTTTGTCAACTTGCTTCGCGATGCCCTTAGTAATGTGATAGAGTCTCTTGAGTCTGGTTCCGGAACCTCAAGACCAAATAAGTCGGAAGGAAACCCATGGGGAAGATGGTATACCTAATACTTGATAATGTGGATCTTATCAGAGACTGGGACAAAGGCTCTATGATTCTGCAGTTTCTTTTCAGTTTGTATACTGTTTTGAAGATGCCTCAACTTAGTATAATACTTATCAGCGGACTGCCACCAGATGTGTATTACTCAAACATGGGATACACAGACCCTCTGTCTCTTTATTTTCCTGAGTATTCTGAAGAGGATCTTCGTCAAATTTTCTTGCGAAATCAAGCTAACCGGAGATTGTACTCTGCGTTCCTCGAGTAATAGTACAACCTTGCCTCCCTACTAGCTTTCTCTATCCTTTACTCATATTGTTTACTGATGTAGTTTTTGGTGTGAAACAGCGTTGTGTTGAAACCATTCTGTAGGGTCACCAGGAGCGTGGAGGAGCTTTGTACTACCTTCGCATCATTGTTCAGAAAGTATTGTGAACCACTCGATGATCTAGGAATTTCACCCAATGAAGATATGAAGAGAAGGCTCTATAGCAATCTTAAACCGCTTATTGCTCCCTGTTTAAATGAGATATTTAGGGTCTCGAGTCACCCTCGTGATGGTGACACCAGAGGCGAGAGAAGGCAGAAAGCCAGCTGCAGTTCTGAAAACCGTGAAGAACTTGAAATATTGGACTTCCATATGTCTACCTCAGCAAAGTATCTTCTTATTGCAGCATTTCTCGCTTCGAGAAACCCAGCAACACTAGACGCATCGATGTTTGACTCCACAGGGGGCATGGATAATCGTAAAAGAAAGCGGAAGTAAGTTGTCAAAAACAGTGTCATTATTTCTCCTTTGACATATAGCTTGATAGAAAAATGATCTGATTCACTGAGTTTAATAGCAAGTCTATTAAAAGCATGTGATGGTATGATGGTGTGTCTTCCGGTGTTGCATTTGAATTAAAAATCTGATATTTTTTTACAATGGTTCCTCTTCAGGGCCTCTGAGAAGTCGATGGAAAAAAAGGAAATTGCAGAGCAGGAAGCTGTCATGAAAGGGCCTGGAAGCTTTCCACTGGAAAGACTATTGGCGATATTCCAGTGTATTGCCTCCGTGGGAAATTCTTCATTTGGCGAAGAGGAAGAAGAAGAAGACGAAGACCCAACGGGCTACGACAAAGAAAATAACAACCTGATGTCTGATATTCTGCTGCAAGTGTCAAGTCTTTGTGATGCAAACTTTTTGATCAAAAGCGGAAGCTGCCCTTTAGAAGGTTCTGTTAGGTACCGCTCTATGGTCTCTGAAGATCTGGCTCTTAAGGTAACACTTTATTTGCAATTGTTGAGTCATATAGCAGAGGGTAATACAAAAACAATGCTGATGCACCAATTTTTTTTGTGTTTTCCTCTAATATGGTTTACAGGCTGCGAGAAGCCTCAACTTTCCATTATCCAAGTACTTGTACAGAAGATAGTGATATATGGGATTCATAAACTTAGGGAGGACGAGTCTAACGGTATAATCTCTATTGAGCTCTTGTATTGTAGGATTTAGTATAATTTTTAGATGTCCGGGAAACTTCATAGGATTGAGAAGCAATTTTTTTTCAGTTAACTGTGTGGTCTGTAAATGTATGTGAATGATGTTTTATTTTTGTATGTAACCATTTTTACCATAGTTTTTACGGCGATTGAGTTGGGAATCCATCTTGGTTTGCTTTTTTTTTTTTTTGTAATCTCCATCTTGGTTTGCTAAATTCTGATGATATGAGACCAGTCTTGAATCTGGTTTAGTTAGGCTGTTTTCATTTCTTATGAAGCATGAGGATGAGATTAAACTTCTCTATTCAGCTCCCATCTTTGTGTCGACTTAAGAGTTTCTGTTACTATTTAGTTTACGTTTGGAACTATATATGATTACATCTATCGTTAAACCTGTCACATATGTATCTATCACCCAACAAGATAGTTTCCACACTGAGTAAACTTGGTTTCTAGTAAAGATATTGAAAAGCCCTGGTTATCTCCTCTGTTTCAATATCTTTTTGTCTGATAATGAAATCTACGCTAGTTGTTGTTTCCCGAAGAAGAAGACACAAGGAAAATAACATATCCTCAGTTCCTCACAGTAACGTTATACCCTATTCCTGTTCTTCTCTTGGTCTTGTAACACTTTTACAAGAACAGAACGAAGATGGCTCACTACTAGCAGTTGATAAAGATTATCTCAACAAAAAAAATTGATCACGGATCATTCATCATTCGAGGTTGAAGCAACTTTTGCAGCATACTTGACTAAGACACCGGTTAAGAGAGCCTTCTCCTTCACCTTTAACCTGTGAATCATAATTACAGAAATCAATCAGTTTATGTAGAGATTCTACATTGGCAAACATTGTTTTAGTAAACTACAATGCATTGTTTACCTCTTTGAAGATCCAGGGATTTCTATCTTTGCGCCCTTTTTAGCTTGCCCTTTCACAAGAATCTTTTTCTTCTTCTTCTCCTTCTTCTTCCCTTCAACTCTAGCGGGTTTTGCTTCTGGTTTGTCAAAGCCAGTTCCTCCACCCAAAAGTTTTTCTTTACCGAGAAGCTTCTGCTCCAGCATGCGAATTCTATCTACTCGATTTTCTTCTGAGGATGACATTAAACTGTTCACAGGTTCCAGATCCTCTTCAGCAACGTCTTCTTCGTCAGCCCTTTCGAGTTCATCATCCGAGTATGTTTCTGCTACAGCTTCCTCATATTGTTCATCATCCAAGCGTGTTCCTGCTACAGCTTCCTCGGATTTAATTGCCTGGAATGAAACTAAACGTGTTTCTAATTCGTCCTGTTCCTTACTCTCTTGCTCCACAACTTGCTTCTGTGACTTTAACTCGGTTTTCGAATCACGTCTCAGTTCTACGGGAGATTCTACGCTACCAGAGATATGATTTGGTTCATCTTCTTCAACTTCCAATTCATCTCCATCTGAATCATCAGATTCTTCCAATGAATCCACGAAAGCCTCCTCTTCTTCAACAACGTCATCTGCATCAGAAACTGCTTCTAAACCAGAATACGGAAGTTTCTGTACCTTGAAGCCGTTATCAAAGTATACTTCCTTTGACACTGATTCATCTGAAGAAAACTCCACAACCTGACATTTGATTTGCTTTATAACCTTTCCAAATGCTAAGCTCTGTCCATTGAACTGTTTCACAAACCTAAGAGAAAAAAACCCAAACTTTGCCTCAGTACCAAAGACAGAAATGCTAATTTACAAACATCACAAGTTTCTCGTACCTATTTGCATCAATCTCACTTTTGAAATCAACATGAGCAAATCCCTTACAAACAGGATCCTTAGTCTTCTTATTCCCTAACACAGCTGGTGTAATGCTCAAAACGCCACTTACTTCTTTAAACGCAACCTTAAGATCTCTGTGAACATTCTTCTTCTTAGGAAGATTAGTCACACGAACACGAAACCCAATTTGAGTCTCTCCAGGTCCTTTTCAATATAACAAACACCTAAATGAGCTTCCCAACTACAACTAAATCGAATTCAAAAATAGTGAGAAAAGAAAAGTTGAAACCTTTGATGAGCTTATCGTCACGCTTAAGCTGCTGTGACTTGAGAGGATCGTTCTTAAGCTTATTGAGATTAGCAGCTTGAGCTTTCCAACTCTGCTCAATTTCGTCGAGCAGCTTATCTTCAATCGAAGTTTCGTACTTTTTACCTAACCCAAATCCACGAGGCCTTCTCTCTAACCATTTCTTCATCTTATCCACTGGCAAAAACTCTCCTTCATCTTCATCTTCTTCTCCTTCACCTTCTTCATCGAATTCACCCCAATCCCCATCTTCATCCTCATCTTCATCCTCATCCTCCTCATCATCTTCCGACACCATACGACCGGAATCGCCACTTCGTCGCTTGTTTACGGCGAATAAACGAAACCCATTACTCCTTTTGACAACGACTGCTCTAAAACTCTGTCGAGTTCTATGAGAAATTGAGATAAACGTAGACGTTGTAAATGAAGAAGACGAAGAAGCGAAGCAACACGGTGACTTTAAACGAGAAAGAGAATGAGAATGGAGCAAAACGGAATTGCAGAGTGAAGCTCCGTTCATGTTTTTGTGTTTTTCGTTATCTTCTTCTTCTTCTTGGTCTCTCGGCGGAGGAAACTGTTCAATCCGCAAAACAAAGCGTCAAGCGACTTCAAGAAAAAGGCCACTAATGGGCCTTATTGGGCCTCAATAAAAACACCCATTAATTTGGAATGCGATCCATTAAGGCTCAATCATAATAACTTGATGTAACACAATTGCTATGTTTGCTTGCTTACAATTAGCATGGCTGACCATGGAATCATATAAAATCATTGAAAGATGTATGAATATAACTGAGACAACACCTTTCAAAGGCCCCCATGTTTTCATGAACTTCAAGGTATGAAGTATTTGTTCGTTATCTCACTTTTTTTTATTTTGTTGCTAATGCTGATTTGATTAGCTATGACAAATCAAAGGACCCAGCTCTGATACATGGATGGAAGTTGTGAGAATTTCTCATGAATAAAAAATAAAAGACAGAACAAAAGCTGAAGATAATAAGAATTTTAAAAAGTAAAATTAAAGTTTTTTATAAAAAAAAAAAACAGAGCAGAAAATACAAAAAATGCTAGGCTGGGTGTAGACCCATTGGAGGGATGGGGGAGGGGATTAAGCTTTGTATATATTTACATGTCTATTTTGTAAATTGGACCATTCTTGATTTGAAGTCATTAGAGATCTATCTCTCAATGGGACCAATTCTTCATACATGTTGGTCCGTTACACATGTTTCTGTTTTTGTTTACGTATCTTATACTTTAAGAAGACATACGATTATATATGTTGTGTATTATATGTACATGACTACGTACCTCCATAAAAATACATGCATATTGCTTATTGCACCCATCTAATTTCGACTTTCATATATATAAATGTGTTCGTCTTAGGATTTGGTTTCAAATACCATGCACCAACCAAAAATTTAATCAACCTATTACTTGAGTAGTATTAAGGAGATATACTATAACATATCTCAATGAAATAAATGCAACATATCAGAAGAACTATAAATGTTATAATATAGTCAAACATGCGTCGAGACTTTTTCATTTAAGAGGCTCCCTATCATTGTTACTTTAGTCTTCATGAATATTAATGTTAGGTTGAGTTGAGTTGGCCTACACTATATATGGAGTTATAAAGTCAGTCAATTTAGTCAATAGAAAATATATTTTTTCTGGTTGCTATTTCTATCATCTTTATGAAGTTTAGTAGTAGTAAAACTTTATAACTTTTAAGGATGTAAACGTGTTTATAATAATGTCACTTATATACATACTATATAGATTGAAAGTTGAAAACCACGATGCATATGATCTATAACTTAGAAAAAGAATTGTAGAGTTTTTGATTAAAGAATAGACTCAGTCTATCAAGCCGCCATAGTAGTTAATTTAGTCTCGCATAAAGATAGTAGAGTTCTATTTAAGATTAGACCAAACTAAAAGAGCTTAGTGGGTAGTTAGATAAGCAGCAACTTAGGCAATATGAACAAATAACAATGATAATAGCTATACGAAGCTTTTGAATGTACTGTGTACATATTATCATATATATAAAAACACTATTACATTCGCAAATATGTGTGTATATTATCAAAAAGGTGTGTTTATATTATTTGATATGCTTTTTTAAGCTTTGAAGAAAAGAAAAAAACACGATTGATCTTCATTACCGAAATTAATCCACTTTGATTAGGTTGAAAATCGCAGAAGAGATTCATATGACTTAGATAAAGTAAAAGAATATTAATGTACTCTAGTCAATTTTAACCTAAAGTATTTGAAGTGATATTCTCTGAAATCTGTATATATTACTTTCAATATAATACGAAATCCGTTTCAGTTATTATGTTTTCACTCTCCTACGTAATAATATGCACGTCGTATTATTATTATTATCATTTTGGTGATATCTGATGCATGTCCCATTATTATGTGTTTAAGTACGGATTGTTTTCGTACCATTTTACATTTTTTTATATATACATTTTATTTATTTGTTTCGGTATAAACAATATGGCGTGGTAATGTGATCATTAAGAAATACATGAAGTCATGAACCATCAAAAACTATTTCCTTAAACTCTAAAAGCAAATTAATTTTATATAATACAAGGATAAAACTGAATTTTTTTAATATTTACGTATATATGTATAGAATATTAAATTCAATACTAAAAGTGATTTCTATTAGAATCATCGTTACATTATTATTTGGGTTGATAATCCGCATGTTATCAAAAATATATGTTTTATCTCATATTACAAAACATTATTATAAAAAGACTAAACTATCTATCTTTCTTAGAGAAATGATGACATGGGACTAAATTTGATCGGAGCCTATACTCCACTAAACTCTAGAAAGATATAGAGAGGTTATTTAAACAAAAGGAAGAAGAAGATGAAAAAAGAGGATCGAGACTAATAGAAATATATGTAACAATGGACAAAATATATATATAATCGTGTGGTATAGCGAGTCATAATCGGCCAACGCCGACCAAAGTCCAAAAAGACAAAAGATGAAAAAAAGTGTCCATTTGAACATCTCGTGTGTGCAAATCTCGATGGCAACTAGTACCAGATTTGCTAATGGTGTTTTATTAGTTTTTAAGATTCTTGTTTTTGGGATTTAGTTCGAATGGTACGCAAACTGAAGTATAGATTATAGAGCTATTTAGAAGATGTGACAGTAAAAAAAAACCATACCTTTTTATATTGGAAGCTATTTTTGTTATGGCTATATATACTATCTTCAAATTAATGGCATGCAAAAATAACATATTTTTTAGAGATCAACAAGATTGTAACTTATAATTATCGCATTTTGTAAATAGTTTTTTTTTACAACTAAGTAAAGTCTAGCTTTTGCAGTATAGATATATATTTTTATTATACTGAAGACTTCAACCTTAAGAAACAAAATAAAATTTACTTCAACTATAAGAACAAAGTGGACATCAAAATAGAAAATCTTGTAGTTACTGTATATACAGTGATTGTGAAAAATATCACTATACATCACTCACTCATCTTGCTAGTGGTTGTATCTGGATATGGTAAGAAATTGAAAAAAACTATGTAATAAATCGGAGTCTTGGAACTCAAAAAGTTATCTACCAATGATCAAAGATAGGCGTCAATACTCAATATCATTGCATTGAAATTGGTCTCTTCAATGATCTGAGTTCACCTATTTCCCAATGTTTGATTATTCATTTTCATGATCTTCTCTAACAGGTGTGAATTTAAGAAATATTCCTCAAGATTAATTAAATGTAGCAACAGCAAACAGAAAAAAAAAAATTCAAACATATATATACATACAGTTGAAAATGACTCAAACCACTTGTTAACTATTCATTACATTTCTAGTAAAAATCAACATGGGCTCATGATCATCAACTCATCATTGTACATAACATAAACATATACACATTGCTTTGATTACATATGTCAATAAGGTCCGAGTTGACTATGCTACAGGAGAAAGAAAAAAAACATTTCTTAACGAGTATCAAATCAATGTGACGATGATATATATAGTATAAGATCATGTCTAGTGATATCATGTACGTACTTTAGATCTGAAAACAAACCATTCAACAACGACCTTTGACTACATGAGGGCAAATAGCTAGCTTCCCCCCAATGAATCGTATTGCATGATTTGCTTCGAGAAAATATACAAAGACATTAACAAAAACGACGAACCCTACCACGAGAATGTAGTGTCAGTCTCTGATAAATTTGTTGTAGGTTGGGAGGTGCATATTTTCCCTCCTTTTAGAATTTGATTTTCTTGGCTTCATTAATGTGTTAATAAATAAATAAACAGATCGATACTGCATGACAGAAAAAAAAATGTACATATGTAATATAACTGTGAAAATGTGGATGCAAATCTGAATGTATATATGCCATATGTCTACCTGAACAGATATATGAATTAGTAGACCAATGAGCCATAAGATATAAATAATGAATAATGTTTCGGCCAAGGAAAAGTTTCTTATTTGTTCTAAGTTTACTTCAGTGCGATCATATCACAGCAGAATTTAATAGTAATTTTTATACTTAATGGATTATTGATTTGAAGAACATTATATACAAAATAAGTCATGGTAGTACACACTATCATTTGTACGTTTCTACTAAATATCTCGAGATGAATTATAATGATCACTACGTTAAACCGAGATATTATCCTGATTAAAGTCTATAATCTAAATCGAAAGAGCAAAAAAAAGAAACATAGAAATCACGTGTATAAGAAAGTAACTAAGGGAGTGATTAGAAACGAACGGGCCAATGATTTAACACTTTTATGGCATAATTCAACCATTACGGGAGATATTATGGACATATTGATACAAAAAGGAATGTGAAGAAAAATCTCATATGTTCTACGAAAAGGACTTCCACTACTCTTTTCTTTCTTTCCCATACGCTCCACACCACTGTTTCTCTTAATCTAATTCAACCAATCTGTGACTCAAACTCCTAATTTTAGAATTTAGAGATATATGATGATTAGGTAACCTCTCTCTTTAACCTTTCTTGCTGGAGATTTTACCCTTCTTCCCCTGCATTTGATATTTTAAAAATGACACTGTATGGTTAACTAAAGAAATTAGTACTATGATTATCGCATGTAAATGCAAAAGTTCATTTTATATAAAGTAAAATTAATTTGACTAGAAAAACATCACTAAAAATGATAAATAATAATGTAAATACAAAACAATTAATTTTCAAAACTTCAAATTGCCTCAAATGGGAGCAACATAAAATATTAGTCTCACAATTCGCAAAGCAAAACAAAATTATCACATTCAAGAAATAATAAAATTTTAATTTTTTTTTCAATGTAAATGTTTTGAATGAAACACTCGAAATAATTAAAAAAAAATTTTGATTAACCCATTCGATAATTTTTTTTAAATCGCTAACCAAAATTGTTTTTCAAATCTTAATTAATACGTAAAATGTTTCTCCTCAACCGACCAAAAACAAATGATCCAACTAAGAGAACCACGGTTTTAATAACCCAGGCCCATTAAGCTAATCACAAAAATTAACACATTCCACGTCACCATTTTGTTTACTTCAGAAAGAAAAAAATACGGCCTTCTTCTCTTCTCTCTATCTTCACGAGTAATGTGCAAACAAAAACGTACAATTTCAGCTGCACTCTGTAATGTATTTGTACTCACACTCATGCAACGTCTTAACCTGCCACGTATTACGTAACCTTTATACCAATGCTTCTTTCTAACCTACGCAACTCTGCTTTAGCGCACGTTAGTCACAACCAATGAAACAACTCTAAAAAAACCCAACGAACGAAACGAACCACCATTCCCCGTCGAACAGTCCCGTTTCCCCGGGGCATAACGGAAACGGTAACCGTCTCTCTGTTTCATTTCCAACAACACCCATTTTTTTAATTTTTAATTATTTATTAATAAAATAAAAAACTCAAAGCTTGCCGATGTTTATTTATACATCCAAACAAATGAATATGTTAAAAACCCCTTCTTCTTCTTCACAGTTCACACTCTCTTCTCTCCACCACAACTCAAAATATTCAAATTTCTCATCTCTCTTCTTCTAGATCTCATCCATTTTTTTTCCCTTTCTCCGGTTTGTTTTTGTTTTCGGTTATGGAGAGATCAGAATGAGGAGCCGCCGCCGTCTCGACGACTGTATACTCATGGATTTGTTCTGCGGAGAAGATTCCGGCGTGTTTTCCGGCGAATCGACGGTTGATTTCTCGTCTTCCGAGTTTGTTGATTCGTGGACGGATAATGAATCGATCGCTTGTTTCATCGAAGACGAGCGTCACTTTGTTCCTGGTCATGATTATCTCTCTAGATTCCTATCTCGATCTCTCGATGCTTCCGCTAGAGAAGACTCCGTCGCTTGGATTCTCAAGGCGAGCTTGCTATTTCACTTTTTTTTTTTCCTTCTCTGTTTCAAAATGAATTTTTATTATCCTTAACGCGAATAACGACTGCCTAGAATACGCCGATCGAGTCGTTTACATGCAAAGTCCAACTATGTGCTAAAATAAGCCCTCAGAGTGGTTTATTTGACTGTGGGTTTTGTTTGGTTACAGGTACAAGCGTATTATAAGTTTCAGCCTTTGACGGCGTACCTCGCCGTTAACTATATGGACCGGTTTTTATACGCTCGTCGCTTACCGGTAAGTTTTTTCTTCTAAAACGTCAACGTTAAGTTAATATGCTCTGTTCTTTATTCATATTGATATGACAAATAACACAACTAAAAAAACAAATATTATTTCACTTTTTTTTTTCTACGGTTCGATTTTTTTTATTGACTTTTCTTCAGAAAAAAATGAAAACGACTTGGAGATTTATAAAATTTTACTTGGGGATAAAATGTTATTAGAACACTAATTAAACGTGATTAATTTAATATATTTGGAATGTACGTAAAAGTGATAAAACAGGAGCGGGGTGTTTTTTTTTTTTTTGTATTTTATGATATTTAACATTTGACGTTTAGATAATAATAGTATACTTTTTGCAGTAAAACTTTCCACTTCATATACCGGCTTTATTAAAAACTTTATAATCATAGTGTTAACACGCTCTCCTCTACTATTATAGTACTATTTTTTGAGTTAATTAATCTTGTAATTTAATGTAATCAAAATGATTATAGTACTCAGCTTTTGTTATCTGTAAAAATAGGAAACAAGTGGTTGGCCAATGCAACTTTTAGCAGTGGCATGCTTGTCTTTAGCTGCTAAGATGGAGGAAATTCTCGTTCCTTCTCTTTTTGATTTTCAGGTATATCTTCAATAATCTGAAGTATGCTCTGTTTTTTAAAGATCTCTTTTGATTCATGTGTATGTGTCTTAAATGTAGGTTGCAGGAGTGAAGTATCTATTTGAAGCCAAAACGATAAAGAGAATGGAACTTCTTGTTCTGAGTGTCTTAGATTGGAGACTAAGATCCGTTACACCGTTTGATTTCCTCAGCTTCTTTGCTTACAAGATCGATCCTTTGGGAACCTTTCTCGGGTTCTTTATTTCACATGCCACTGAGATTATACTCTCCAACATAAAAGGTACGTGACGTAATGTAATGTTGTATGGTACGTAATGTATGTCATATTGGGTTTGGTTCTAACAAACGGAAATGTTAGTACAGAAGCTAGCTTTCTTGAGTACTGGCCATCGAGCATAGCCGCAGCTGCGATTCTATGTGTAGCCAACGAACTCCCTTCTCTATCCTCTGTTGTAAATCCCCACAAGAGCCCTGAGACTTGGTGTGATGGATTGAGCAAAGTAGGAAACTGTTATCATCACATGATTTGGATGGAATAGGGGAGAGAGAGTATCATAAGTTCCTAATGTGTTTTTTTAATTTTGGACTTTGTAGGAGAAGATAGTGAGATGCTATAGGCTGATGAAAGCGATGGCGATAGAGAATAACCGGTTAAATACACCAAAAGTGATAGCAAAGCTCCGAGTGAGTGTAAGGGCATCGTCGACGTTAACAAGGCCAAGTACTGATGAATCCTCTTTCTCATCATCATCTTCTTCTTCTCCTTGTAAAAGGAGAAAGCTAAGTGGCTATTCTTGGGTAGGTGATGAAAAATCAACCTCTAATTAAATTGTGGGGATCAGTGAGAGAGAGTAGAGAGGACCAAAGAAACAAAACTCTTATGTTTTCAAGTAGAGTATATTTTTTTACAAAAACAAGTACATAATCATAATAAAAGGGAGTGATGAAGTAGTAAAAAAAAGTGTTTATTGGGGTGAGTAGAAGTAATTAAGAGTGTTTCCATCCAAGGGGAAGGGAATAAGAGTTTTTGGTTACAACTTTTATGGAAAGGGTAAATTGGGATTTGGGGGTTGTGTTGGTTGGGTTTGGTTGATTGGGTGGGAGAGACAAAGCTCATCATTAATGGCTTTGCAGATTCCCAAGAAAAGCAAATGAGTGTAGACCACACGTGTAAGAGAAGAGAATGATCATGTGAGTGGTGTAGTGTGCGTGTGAGAGAGAGGTACTAGCATGCATTAGAGAGTGAGTCCTAATGAAACAGGTACACTGATGGATAAGACAGGGAGGAGCGTTTGAGAAAGAAGATGTTTTTGAGTGGAGAGAGCTCTTTGTCTTAATGGATCGCAGCAGTTTATGGACCCCCTCACCTTCACCTTCAGCTTCTCATCATCAATTACAAAAACAAATTCAAGTTGCTGCCAGTATATATATATATCTATATGTTTCTTTTTTGGATCTTTTTAAGATTTTTGATTCCTTTGTGTGTGTGTGCGACTTCACGTGCCGGGAGGCGTGTGTCTCGTCTCACTCACGTGTTTGTTCTGTTTTTTTTTTTCTTTCTCTTCAAATCTTTTATTTTTGGCAGGAAATTTTGTGGGTTTTTTTTTCAATTATATACGTATTCGTGTGGACTCAAAATGAGTTTTGTCACGGTACGTTTTTTCGTAACGTATGCATGCGTGTAAGGGTGTCACGTGTGTGTATATATATATTTATGATTTTTTATTTGTTTTGCTTCATATAATTGTGTTTAAATAAAAGAATGAAGAAAGAAAAAAAGTACATGGAACTATATAAATAATGATCTTTGTCAATAGACGTGTGAGGATAATACAAGAGTGGAGAGAATTTGACAATGGAGTGGCCTGTGGGAGCACAAAGCATGTGAACATGTAAGTCGTCGTAGATCGAGTATATGTTTTTATTGAACGACGAACGTATAAAAACAAAAACATATTTTTTTTTATATAGTATATATATAAAATTGCCTAGACTATCTGATTTTTACAGCAGTGGAAAACAAAAGAAGTAAAAAACAATGGTTAAAATGTGTTCGTTGGTTTTTAGTAAAAGAGGAGGAGGAGGATGAGAGAACAATTAATAGGAGCAGTAGAATACATGTGAGGTTGATCTGTCTTCATGTCAGAGATAAGTGGTCTCACCACACCACGATCGATAAAACCATAACGTAGCTACACCGTTCTATCTCTCGAACCCCTCAAAGAACAGCCCCTCACAAAATTACCATATCTTTGACTATCCCATATATATGTGTATGCACACGATTCTAACGAGTATAGAGCAAGAGTTGAAAGATGAAAAAAAATAAAACATTAACTAAGTTAGTTTGTTTGATTTTTTGCCGACAGATGTGAACCCCACGTCGAGACAATGTCTCCATCTACCTAATTCTAAATTAATTAGTTTAATAAGCAGTGTAGTACTTTTTATATAATACGACTTATCTATTTTTCCATCAACGACATTATTTGATCGTTCTTTCTCCAATGAACTAATCACGCGTCTCATATATGCTTTACACTAATCTTTTTCTTACTCACTTACCACTACAAAAAAAGAGTATATTGTATCACTTAAATTGTATCATAAAGTTAAGTGATGTTATTTTAAATTGCTTATTCATAAATGAAGCAAATATACATGACTAAGCATCAATTGTATTAACTGATGTTATAATTAATTAATTTGACATCAATTAAATAAAATTGATTCAATTTCTATTAGTTTGTATCACTTTTATATGATTGATAAAAAAAAAAAAAAATTACATCATTTAGATAATTGATGTATCTATTAATTGTTGGTAAAATCACTTTTAAAATGATCCAAAATTAACATCAATTAAAAAAATGATGTAAAAGTATATTTTATTAATTACACTACTTAATATATACATTTAAAAAAAACAGAAGGTAACGTAAAGTAAAACTGTAGAATTTTGTGTCACTTTTTTTTTTTATGATGCTAAATTCTTTAGAATTTTACATCAGTTTCTTTTACATGATGTTAAATTCTTTATGTTCTTTTTTCTCTTTTTATTTTTGTAACCACCCTTCCTGATTATATATTTTTTGGAAACAGAATATCTTTTTTTTTTTTTTTTTTTTTGAACACCGGAAACAGAATATCTATTTTTCATATTTCCCACTAAGTAAATCAAATACAAATCTGTAGAAAATCCTAACACTTCTTCTCATATCTTAACTTTGGAACGATTAGATGAGGAACATACACAAAGAGATTGAAGACGAAAATCAAAAGACGCTCAGATGCACATGATAGCTTTTTCTTTGTAAAGGTAAATGATCTCTATTAATTTTTTTTTTGGAAGAGGGTTGGTTCTTCTGTCTCTTATATAATTTATTGACTCTAAAATATCTGGTTTTGTTTTAGGATCAGTTTCCAGATCCGTTCTGCAAGACCGTCACACATAAATTTAATATGAACCACATACACACGCTACATTGAATCTCATGGATGGAGATTGAAGTAAGGTGAAGATTGCTTGGATTACTTGTTCAGGAAAGGATTCTTCAAGTTACAAGAAGAGTTTTTCAATCTTCTGGGTTCCATAGTTAATTTGTTTAGATATGAAATCACTTTGTATATAGGTTTGAGATTTAGGTTTACAGTTTTAAGCAATGTATTCGTTTTTTCTTCAATGGAATTTAAGTTTTTGTTTTTTCTAATTTCATTTTATACAATATTATTTTTATTTATTGTTACTGATTATCGGAAGTGATACAATTATTATAAATGTTTATAATAATTAACACTAATTTTAACATCAGATATTTGTAATGATATAAATATTTAACATCAATTTTTGTAAATGACACGATAATTAGAATCACTTAATTCAATTGACACTAATATTTACATCAATTATTTAACTGATATAAATATTTAACATCAGTTATATTAATTGATGTAAAACTAACATCAATTATAACAACCAATGCAAATATTATCTATAATTACATCAGTTGTTAGAGAAATGATAGGAATTATTTGCATCGACCGTTTTAAAATCATTTACTGAAGTGATGTAAAAATTTTTGGCATCAGTTATAAGTAATACAAAAAATAAAAATAAATGATGCAAAATGCTCATTTTTTTGTAGTGTACTTATCCATAGGATGTTACAAACGTATCTTCTGACGACGCTCCTCTTCTGTTTTTTTATATATATAGCATTACTCTAGTTTACATCACTTTCCCCCATATTTCAAGTTTTCAACCATACACTCATCTTAACATAATTATAATATTTCAAAACATGCACTGTTACCAGATTTTTTGAAACTGTTCCACTCAAAACGTACGTAAGGAACTGTGTTACACTCTACTTTTTTTACTCCCGTACTAGAGTCCATCAGTAACTTTTTTCCTTTTCACAAAAAAGTTGGTATGATTTGTAAAATTCACGACACATGAATTATGAATATAAATGGTATGTTGTAAGAGCATTGATATGACATGACAACCCTCAGGGTGAATCAACCAGATGGACTTATAAATAAATAAAAATACGTACAAGATAACTATTACATGAATATTAAGAAAGAATAGAAGCTTCACCCACTACTGTTTAATCTAAAACATGATGAAGCAAAAGTTTAAGAGAGACTATGTATGGATTGGTTAGGTGATTAGCAACTGCTAATTATAAATAAATAATTAGTAGCCCACGCATTTGGACATATTAATCATCGGGATTACCTCCATCATTCTTTATTTTAACTTTTTGTTTGTTTTTTAATCATCCTCTTTCGGGTTTTGATTAGGACACACTGGGACACCAAAAGGGACCGAACCTTATATTATCCAGCGTATAAAGACATTCATCTTTTAATTACTATCTTAATTCATTATTTGTCCTGTTATAGTTTTAGTTTAGTACACGCGTCCGTCATTAATTGCATAAATATCTAAACTCCCTTTTTCTTATATGTACACTTCACAATGACTTAATTAACCAAACACATTAATGTACAATTTTCTTATAGATAATGGATAATGACATCTGATGGGAATGGTATAGAGACAAAAACAAAATGAAATTATATGACAGAATTTGCATTCATTATAGTTTATAGAAAATGGACAGATTTATCAGTAATAAATTACACATGTAGGTGAGTGTGAGTATCTGTGTTTAATTATAGGCGCACGTAGATCATGTTAGATGTGAGTTGGAATAAAATCAGAAAGACTTTGCTTTCTCAACTAGTGTTTAAAGTGAAGGATCCTAGGAGTAGATTTTTCAAAATGATACGCATATATATACAGTATATATATATATATATAACCAACCATATCCTATTTCAGCAATCATATTTCATATATACCTATTTCGATAATGTCTTCATTATACATCTTTCTAATTCACTACTCAGCTTAAGTATACTACATACATACTCTTTGAGTACGTAATGGGCTTTAAGCACATACAAAAGCATGTTTTAACATCTTATTCTCAAAAGCGAAACAAAAGAAAGAAATAAGAGGGAATATATGCTGCCTAGCTAGAACATGTAGAAACAAAGTTTGCACATGGATTCTTTCTTTTTTGCCTTTAGTCTTTAGAGAAGAAGAAGATACACTTATATATTCATTAAAATAATCAAACTTTGGATGCTTGAAAAGTAGTAGAAAGAAATATATATAAAGTGACGAGACGATATTTTTAAAGAAGGAATCATTAAAAAATATATATATATAGAGAGAAGAAGAAGAATACACAATGGTGGCATGGCCCGACCCCGTAGGGCGTGAGAGAGTCTTGAGTGAACTTAGTTTCTCGAGGGAGCGTCTCTCATTTGTTGCCTACTTTAGAAAAAAATTTCGTGGGTTTTGCTTTTTGTTGTTTATGGTCACAAACCAAGATTTAGTCACTGTTGAGCACTTTCATTTCTTCTAGTGGACAACGACGTCTCCTCATTACCAAAGTCCTTTGTTTCATCATCAAACACTCTTCACCTAATCCAACCTATTCATGTTGTTACAAGGACACTCTCGCACACACACGTTATGCTACAATTGCTCGGACTAGCTTAGCTAGGATATCATCTAAACGCAGTTAGAATATAGTTTTTGATTCGTTTCGATTAATGTAAAAAGGAGTGTATAGGGAACCTAAAAGGAGGATGAACGTGAGAGAAAAGAAATGAGCATAACAAAAGAAAAGCAAATAGCATTGAGCACAGTGACTGAAAGCAATAAAGTAAGATTGTAAGTTATTTTTTTTCAGACTGAAATTTTTTTACAGAGATTTCAGCAAAGAGATGAGAAAGTATAAAGTTGAAAGCGAAAGGCATTTTTTTTTTCTTTCATGGGGGCGAAAGCAAAAGCGAATTAGAGAGGCGAAAGCTGGTTTTAGCTAAAGAAAGACAAAAAGGAATGTAACACTCTTTTAGATTTGACGTTAAAGAAGCTTGCCAATGTGACTATTGTAGGAGCCATATCACAACAATACATTGTATCCATTTCATAACTAAATTATTCAATTCCTCTATCCACCATGCTTAATAAGACTCGATAAGGCATTGTTGTGATTGGGCTAGGATTTGGCAACGGGCTAAAGAACAATGTGGAAGATTCAACGTACTATCCTAAGGTCTTAACTAGTTCAAGCCATCCCAGTTCCAATATATCCTTTAGTTTCAAGATGAGTTAAACAATAGAAAATGTGAATGTTGACCTTTTAATCAGTGAATATGTCACTAATCATGTTTTGGTTCAGATTTGATATACAGAGGAAAACTCTGACAATCTCTGTGTTCTTGTCAACACCACAATTCAATCTCTGCAATACAAAAATCTCTAATCTTCTTATCCTGAAGCGAATTTACACATGGTATCAGGTCTAGGTACACTTCTCGGGGACAGTAGTGACTTACTTTTCTACTGTGTGTTCATTAAACAACTCCTTCAATGGCCTTATGTGTCACTGAGTTGCAACTTCTTTCTCTCCTGCTTCAGCTGTGACACAAAACTGTATTAATATCACGTGAGAACGCAAATATTACAATTTATTACTTGGTATCGACACTTACCACGGTCTTTACTCGATCATTGGCAGCACGGGTTCCTCCATCGACACAATCAGGATAATAAGGGCTTCGAATAAACACTTCTCCCATTACGAGAATGTCTTTGTTTACCCACCTTGTAGGAAGCCTGGAGAATGCAGCATCACATAACATTCAATCAAAAAGAGTTCATGTAGCAAAATCAATAGAATGATTATCAGCAGAAGCATACAATCAGTTGTCACAACCAGTTCTTAACTGCTAAACGAAGAAAGCTACACAACATAAGTAGCCACATTTAATATAAGCAAACTCACCGAACGGTAGCAAAAATTACCTGCTTACTTTCTATGACAATTCTACTCCATTATCACATTTTGTTATTTCAGAAGTGCCATGACTAGTAAAACACTAGTATATACTTGTGATTTGATAGCTAACAACAACTGAAGCAAGGCTAAAGATAAAGTCGACCATAGAACAAATATAGAGTCCAAACAAGCTTGCATCTTCTAGAAACCACAAGCAATAAAAACACAATGCCATGACCAGAATGAAAACTCTAGTAAACATCTGGGCTTTGATGCTGATTTAAAGGCATTCAGCAGCAACAACCGAAGCAAGGCTAAAGACACAATCGACCATAGAGCAAATATATAGTCCCAAAGAGCTTGCATCTCTTGACTCCAGATTCAGAAACTAAAGAATTCACAGCTGCTTAAATAAGCAAGCATCTGACCTCGTTGCAACCAGAAACAATGCACAAAACAGTAGAGCAGTGAAACTGTAACCAATCCAGGCTAAACCAAGAACTTCTTCACACAAGAACTAGCCTAATCCATGACAAGGTTCGATTGTACAACATAAGTATCATTATCAACTCAATACAAAGGACCAAAAAGACCCATACGTCTTAGAAATCGCGTCAAAGATCTTCTGCGCCTCTGCTGTAACACCAAAACCAATTTTCTCGATGTCCCTGCAAAATACATCAATCAAATTCAGAGAAAAATTCGCAACAATCATAGCGATTACACAACAAAATTGCAGCAATTGTCACCTAATGACATTAACTTCTTTCTGTTCGAGTTCATCAAGACTAGTCGAAGGCCTTTTAGCGAGCGGATCCTTAACTCTCCCCAGACTCGTCAGCTCGGTTATGAAATTCGCATTCACCATCCGTAAGGTCTTCGAATCCAGAGGTTTAGGCTTCGTTCCTTCTTGTAAATCACTAATCTGTCAAGGAAACCGCAAAATCCAAGTGCGAAAACAAACAAAAGATGATGAAATCAATAAGAAAGAACTAGCAGAGATGAGAAACTACGAGATACGAGTACTGATTTCGAAAAAAGGATATCGAACATGACGATGTTGGGATTAGAATCATATCCCAAGACGATTCCATTGAACACGTCTCCGGTGGTCAACTTGACAGTGTATACATTCCCCAACGCGAATTTCTTGCCTTCTCCTCCTCCATCGCCTTGTTTAGCCACCGTACCACTTGCTGGTTTCATGGCGGCGAACAAACTCTCCGGTGGTTTCTAAATCGCGGGTTTTAAAAAGTGACGGTTGAAAAATATCTTCGGCTTCACGCCAAAATGGGAGAATAACAAACTATAACCGTAAATGGGCTTCTGCACTCAACTATATAGGCCCATATAAAACTACCACCCTGGATCGTTACTATTACCAGGCCTAATAAATCGAATAGCCCAATTAGAATTTGGTTTAAGAGCGATTGTTACATGTACTTCACTGAATTATTCAACCTAAAGTTAATTATAGACCAGTTTACTATTGAGTTTTATAAACTTTGCATATTATTTTTCCTACAAAAAAAAATGAAATTTTCTACTATCTTTTGATAATAATAAAAATTAAGTTAGTTAATAAGATGTTTAAGCTAAATATTATAGGAAGAGGAATAAGATGGAAGTGGTCCATGTGACATGAATTAAACAAATCATTGTTATATTTGTCAAAAAGGGAAATGGGAAGCTGGTGAACTACTACATCACCATTATCTCCTCCTCTGTCACTACTTTTTTCTAAAAAAATTCAAATTCTCTCAATGTCAGTCTTGAATGTTGGTTCTAAATCTTCACTAGATTTTATTGAAATTAAAAAATATTAAATTTCAATTAATTATTTAAAGTTATCTAACAACAACTTCTTGGTTGTGTAAAAGTCACATAATAATGCATACAAAAAAATTTCTTTCTTTACCAGTCACATAAAAAGGGTGTAAACTTTGTAAAATCGGTTCTATATTGGCTTGTAAAAATTAGTTATTTTCCAAAAAACATCAACATTAGACAAATATGTTTGAAATCGATGTGAAAAAAAAAAATATAAATCAAACCCTATCTTTGGGTATTTATGATGAGTTTATTCAAGTAGTGAACATCTATACAATGGATTTATTTTACAATCTTAAAGACACGATAAAACAAAAAAAAAAAAAAAGGATGAGATTAGTAGAAAAGATGACTGCTTTGGCTAACAACAATTATAAATGGTCGGGAAAGAGAGGAGGGCACATGGAAGAAAGGAATATGGACCGAAGTTAACGGGGGATGAAGACAACAAGTCGAACCACTCATTGCAAACTTATTAACACATCTTTCATATACCATCACATGTTATTTGAGTCCATCTTCCACATGGGTTTTTCACATTATAATGCTTTTGCTTCCACCCCTATATAATAATATTTACTGTATTAAAATGTAGCGGACACTTGTTATCTTACAAACTCTTGGTTTAAAAGTTAGAGTTAATAATTGTTTCTTTCCACATTTACCCAATATTTTAGAAAACAACACACCTTTGCCAAGTTACTTTAAGAAAATAATTTAATATTGCTCTGTCTCTCAGAATTTTCACCGTCAAGTAAAAATGATTGAAAATCATTACACGTTAGTGGGTAAAATCATCTCTGCGTTGACTAGGTGCCACCAAATCGTTGAAACCGTACAAATGTTTCCACTTCTTTTTAACAAATTGTGTCAAGTCTCATACTTTACTAATTTTCATCTATCAGTGATTTTTTTCTTTTGCTTTCTTTTGATAATATCGTTGTTATGTATTTATTCAGCATAAGTTATAAATAATTACGAATGCTTTAATTTTCTTTTTGGTAATATAATTACGAATGATTTAGACTTCAAATAAATTCCTTAACAAAAAAAATCAATAAAATTCCTTAGAAACAATTGAATCTTTGATCTACATTGTACTTACTTACGTGTCGACACCTTATTCTAGGATTAGTTAAGAGTTAAAACCTAATAAAATCTTTTTTTTTTTCATCGTGGCACGTTGTCATGTTGACTTGGACAATTCCTAATTTTCCAGTGCACACACTGACAAATTGACAATTATACCCTGACAAGCGCAAAGAACAAAGATCAGAACTGAGGCACCGCATCAAGGGCTATTTCGTCATTTCCAGGGTATAAAAGCCATCAGAGTCTGGCCATTTTCACACTGGCCACTCACTGATCAAAGGCAGCAACTTGCCTCCTCCACCACAAGCCACCACAAACTTATAACAATTTCAATATATATATCTAATAACATCAAAGGTTCATTATAACAAACCATATCAATTCATTACCTATTGCAAAAATTAAACAACAATAACTCAGAATTAAGTGGAGTCTTGTGTCAAAAACAAAAACTAAATTTTGGCATATATTCATATGCGGTAGACTAGTATTTTAGAATTTGTTTAGGCAATAAAGTAAAGAAAAGAACCTATTTTACAACTGTATGAATAATACAATATCATGTGGAAAATATTGAAAATTAAGCATAACAACAACAGCATTGACATGGATAGATTAATAATTAAAAAGATTTGAATAAAATATTTACATCCCACTGGTCCAAAACCATCGAACCACTCGTCCTTTCGTCTCGTCTCTTCCCACATAAAACAAGAACAACCACCAAAAAAACGATGTGACATATACTTATAAACAAACAAGACCACCATTATCAATAATCAAAAGAAAGAAGAAGAAGCATAAAGGTTTTGTTTCTATGATCCTGAAATGGGATTGAAAGAGCAACAAAATTGTCTGAGTCATAGGAAGATTATAGTTTTCTTAGTCTTAGCTTTTATACCATTAGCTCTGTTTCGACTCTGTTTTAATAATCCTTTCTCCTCCTCCATTGATGACACCTCTCTCCAAGACTCTTCAGCTCACGTTGTGATCACCAGCTTCTCTTCTTCTTCTTCTCAAGGTAACATCGAACTTATCCAATATTGTTTGTGTGTATGCAAACACAATGGTTTTTAAACTTTAGAACTGTTGTCTAAATCTGCAGAAGAAGAAACTCAAGAGAGCTTTGATCGTGTAAAGGACGAACCTTTATGCGATTATACGCAAGGGAAATGGGTCAGGGACGAGACTGGTCCACTCTACAATGGTTCAACCTGTGGAACAATCAAGGATGGTCAGAACTGTTTCCGCCATGGTAGACCTGATTCCGGTTATCTTTATTGGAAATGGAAACCGAACCAATGCGATATACCAAGATTCGACGCTAACCGGTTTCTTGATCTTATGAGAGACAAGCATCTAGCTTTCATCGGCGACTCCATGGCTAGAAACCAGCTTGAGTCTCTTATGTGCTTGCTCTCTACCGTCTCTAGCCCTGATCTTGTGTATAGAAATGGAGAAGACAATAAATTCAGAAGATGGCGTTTCGAATCTCACAACGTCACGGTCTCGGTTTACTGGTCCCCGTTTTTGGTGGCCGGTTTAGAGAAATCGGGAAGCTTGGACCACAATGTATTGCACCTAGACCGCGTGGATGAGAGATGGGGCAATGATTTAGAACGTATTGATACGGTCGTTGTCTCAGTAGGGCATTGGTTTCTGCATCCGGCGGTTTATTACGAGTCTGGCTCTGTTTTGGGATGCCATTCTTGTGAAACAAGCAACTGTACCGAGATAGGGTTTTACGATGTGTTTAGAAAAGCGATTAGAACAACGTTGAAGGCGGTTGCCGGAAGTCGTCGTGAGGTAATCTTGACGACGTTTTCGCCGTCACATTTCGAAGGCCGGCCTTGGGACAGCCTTGGTGCTTGTAACATGACAGAGCCGTACGAAGAGAAGGCTCTAGAAGGTTTGGACTTGGATATGCGGCAAATAGAGATGGAGGAGTTTACGGCAGCCAAAGCAGCGGCGTCTGAAGTGAGGTTAGAGGCGTTAGACGTGACGGCAATGTCGGTGTTGAGACCAGACGGACATCCTGGTCCGTACATGTACCCGTTCCCGTTCAAGAACGGTGTACCGGAGAGAGTTCATAATGATTGTCTCCACTGGTGTCTCCCCGGACCAGTCGACACGTGGAACGAGATTATGATCGAGGTGTTGCGGCGATGGAGGGTTTAAATCATGAACCATGATTGTGGAAGTGATCCTATGACATCATCATTCATTTACAACGCATATGACAAAAGGTGTAATCATTTTTTTCGGGATTTCATAAAGTATAGCTAGGTATAGTTTCTTTTCTTGAATTTTAGATACGATCGAAACATAAACACACATGGATCATACTTTCCTTTTTGTTGCTTATTTCTTCCGTTCTTCAGAAACGATAGAGGAGTACAAAGTTCCATAGTTCCATGTCATGTAACTTTTATTTTTTGGATTGGAATCTTTCAATTATTATGCCTTAAACTGTCTATGTACAATAGCCACGACTCACGAGCATGCCTCTTCTATTATATTAGGGCGTAGATAGCTGTCACTATGATCATGCGTATAGATCATTGATTAGAATTCCAGTTGTATATATGATGGACCGGTCTAGGAACAAAAAAATTGTAGTGTTGACTAATGATGCCATCGCCAAGAACATTGTTAAGAAAGAATATAGTATTTGACCTATATTACATTATTACTTGCTGTATTGGTTCGCGACTTGACTAACTTATAAGATGAGGCCTTTGTGGAAAGCAAAGCAAGTGGCAACTGGCCAAAAAGGGATGGGCACAATGAATTAAAAGAACATTTTGTAATGTTCTCTGTATCCAATTTTGCAGGCATTTCTTGGGTTTTGTATTTGTGCAGTGCAGCGCATTTTTTTTTGTCTAAGAGTAAGACCCAGAGATGTGTTATTATCAATTTTTGTCTTTTATTTACAGCATATGTTTTTTTTTTTTTGTCTTGCAGTAGAAAATAGTTTGTCTTTTTAAAGAAGAAGAGAATCTTCATTGTATCAAGCGTGAAGGACTGAAGGGGTTTAATTTTTTTTTATTAAGCAAAGACAAAGGACCTTTAGGTTTTAACTTTTTACCCAGCTGTTTTATTCTTTTTGCTCCTTCCTCTTTCGAGTATCTCTTCGTCTTTGCCTTTTTCTCCACTAAATTATGTTTGGAACTTATGTTGTTCCAAAAACGTTGCTGCTAAATAAGTCGTACTAATTAATATATCAAATCAAAATCGTTTCCAAGGTAGTTTTGGTTTGAATGATGACAATGGACCAAAGAGATTGATCTATTTTTGCAACTAAAAAATTTCGGATTTAACATATCTTCTTTTTGTTGCCCGTCGTAATATGGACCAAAGTGATATAATTCGACTATAATGATTTCCCAAAGGACAGATTTTGTGAGTGAGGTTTGTGAGTTTGTCCATCCTAAAAAGTTATATATCATTGCACACTCGTATGGGCTTTACCACAATAATATTGCACATATTCGTATGGGCTTTAAGTACTACAACAGCTTCGTATTAGGCTGATCACTTGTGTCCAATTTGCAGCCAGAACTCATCTAAATATCAATTTGTCTCCTTCTATGGCCTCATATGACACACTAGTGTAACTAGCCCATTTATAGGCATGGCATGTAGTAGAATCATATCTCTCCTCCACATCGAGATTGATAGGAACCAGAAAGAGTTTGATACTTTGATTCGTAGAGTCTTTCGTAAAGTTTAAACTGTTTTGTTTTTCCACTCACATTTATAATCTATGTATAAAAAAAATTGTACCAGTACTATGTAGCCATCAAGAAAAATTGTTAGGATCTAATTATTTATACATCGAAAGTAAGATAAATAATCGGATCGTTACCGATTGATTATAAATGAAAAACTTATGAAGCTTAAAGTACTGTATATGTATAAGTTTTCTTATCGAGAATATATAGTAATCAACTAATCATATGAGTTTTCTTTTGCGCAATATGTAATTTCAGTAATGGATTTTTACAATAGAATTAAAGCTTGAATACAACAGTTGATCACTGATGCGAAGATTATTCATTACATAGAAACACAAAAAAGAGCTCTAGAGATATTCAAAGACATGTATATACATTGGGGTAGGTTTTGCTATTCGGACCAAAAAGCCTACTTCAGCAATCCTCCCATTGACACAGACCACTTAACACATGCACACTCATCACACGCGCGCATTTCTTCTTATTCACGCCACCAAAAGAGGAAAGGGGCCAAAAATATATGAACCCTCGTTTCTTCTTAAAAAAAATATATAATACAAAATTCACACAGGACTATCATCCTGATTAGTAAGCAATGGAACTTTGTTTTCATCTTCTTCGTGATGATGAATCGTTTTGATGGATTTTGTTTCTCGGTTTGGATTTTGTTTTTCTTCGGTTTCCTTCAACTGTCCCCAAGACACTGTGTAGTATCCCACACCACCTATGGCTGCTCCTAACACACTGCACCCATGCACCAACAAATACTTAATATATACTCATGCATATGCATGCTAATTAAATAATTAGTATTTAGGATGATTAATGAATATTTCAACGTACCTGCCGTAGTGAAGGCTGTTTACGAAGAAGCTGGTGCCAAAAAGTGTAGCCCAAAAGATACCAAAGGGTTTGAATAATGGCACGTAATAAGGTCCTTTCATTTGGGTGCACTTTACGTGTACACTTGTTCGTATTACACTTCCGAATGTTCCCTGAGTTAGTCACCAATATTAGACACGTTAGTTACGATAGAGAATTTGTGTATTTCATCCTTATATCGCTACTTGGATAGTTGGATTCAAACCTTGTATAGAATGCATGTTATTGAAAAAGAGAAAATATATATATATATATATATATAGTCAATTACCGTGGCGATAATGAGGTAGAGGTCGAAGTTAGGCTGGATCTTCCATGCACTTAGGTCTCTTTCCATAAATAACGAGAATATTAGACACTGGATCGTCCCTACTATGCTGTAAAATGAAGCCACTTTCATTACATGTGGATACTTTTTTACCGTCCCTGTCTGCATGCCAAGGACAAGAAAAAATTTACCTCAAAACTAATTATAATGCATAAGCATAACGATGGTTTCAGTAATGGATAGTTTAGTACCTGAACAACATTGAAGAGGGAGATAGAAAAAACAGCGGCGGCCAAAAAGATACAGCCGAGAAACCAATTGTCGGGGAGGTTGTAGTAGACCATAAGTTTGGGGATTGATTTGAGAAAGCGAGTTGGGGAAGCAGTCGAAGCTGGTCTTATGAAGGGACCTTTGTACAACTCTTCAACAAAAGCTCCACTTAATGAGATTATTGCTCCCATCACTTTAGCCCTCGTACTCGTGTTTCTCCAATCCAACTTGCTCTTTCTATAAATGCATATATGGTTATTGTTGACGTACATATCACTAATATGGAGATTTATAAATGGTGATGAGATGTGGCTTACCCGAGAAGAATAGAGAGCAGGAAGGAGAATGTAGGGATTTGCAACCCCATAGCACATACGACTATAGGTGAGCTGAAGCTTAGTCCCACAAATGCCAAGTTTTGGAACATAAATACCCTTCACATATTTAAAACGTTGCAATATAATTAATCAGTGCATATGTGCTTGCATGAATAACATTTTAAGTACGTTCAGAATGCATGCAAATGCGTGTGTGCTCGCAAGTGACCAAACATACGGCACACAAGTTTTTAAAATTCTATTTTAATAACAAAAATAAAACATGGTGTGTGGTATATGCCGCTCACAAAGAAACGTCACGATGTGGAAAACAAGAGAACATATTATAGCCTAGTTGTTTCTTTTAAAACCTAGTAAACGGCACGCAGTTTTGTTTCTTTTCGATAGATGACGTTGCAAATCCATGTCATAGAATATTCATCAAACAAATTAGTGGTTGGCACAGGACGTATAGATTTTTCGAAACATGGACCACACCTAAGTTATTGTTATTGCAAAATACAATATTCGTGAGAAAGAATCTGGTCTGAGTCCTAAAATCTATACGATAGATTTCTAAAGAAAACATGAACTTATTATAAAGAGAGATGAATGATGCACCCACCCGGTGAAGCCTAGAAAGAAAACACGAACGAGAAGTGGCCAAGAGAAGATAGATTGTTCAGTTCTGCAAGTGTTATCATAAACAACAAATCAGACAACAAACAAGACGATTGATTAGTGAGGAGTAACTATAAGTATATATGGAACGTGAACTGACCTATCATTCCGGTGAAAGAAGAAAGAAAAAGGCAGAAGAAGAATAGATCCAAAAGCATTTGTGTAAACAACGAACACAAAAGGACTCATCCCTCCCGTCAACGCTGTTTTTGCCATAATCGTTAGAGCAATAGTGCATGCTTCCATTATCGCCATTGCCACAAACGGCACGAACTCATCCCTTCTAACTTTCAACTCCATCTCTCTCCCTCTAGGCTTTCAAATAAAAACGGCACGATGTCTCCTAGCTCCAAGTATATAGGAAAATAAAGATTAGATAGAGAGAGAGAGAGAGAGAGAGAGAGAGAGAGAGAGAGAGAGAGAGAGAGAGAGAGAGAGAGAGAGAGAGAGAGAGAGAGAGAGAGAGAGAGAGAGAGAGAGAGAGAGGGAGCTAGAGAGATCCTCAAATGCTATTGGAGATACGAAATTATTGGTTTAATTCCTCTAATCATATATAGGACAGGGAAGAATTATCATACATTTATTTTTATTTATCATTATCTATTTTTCAGATATAACCTTTCACGAAGCGGTGAAGCTACTTTACAAACGTGATGTAGCTACACGAGTGACTCCACCATTGCACTAAGGGCGAGATGCTAACGTCATATATAACTTCTTTTTTTTTTTTACTTATCAGAATGTGTTCAACTTCAAACATAAATCCAAATAGTGTGATGCTGTTTATAGTTCATTTCCTTTTATATTTTTTATGTACTTACGTCGTATTTTTCGTCTTATAAGTGATTTCACGCATATAAATTATAAGTTAGAATGCATGATTTGGTACGTGGGTTCTCCTGATACATCGTCAGACTTAATTAATTATGATCGTACGCCAACTAAATCAGCGATCAAATGGAGACCATACGTTATTTACTTTAGGTTTCAACCTAAACTTTTGTTAGATATAAACAATTTTCTATAGAATTTATAAATGGATATGTTGTTGGCGTTACAAAAAGCAATAAATTGCAAGAACCAAAATTTTTATACAAACTTATCAGAGTTCACTGTTATACTTAATTGGTCTTAGAAAAAATATTTTTACGAGGACAATGTCATGAAGGTGAGTAACTCTGCAGCAAATTTGAAGCTTTGTTCCTTGCGTCTTCCTGCGAAAATCTCGCAAGTCTCTATGCTCACCACGGTCGGATTTAGACACTTTCCAGGCCACCATTGCCAGCTACACAACTCAATGACTCAAGCA